AGCAGCAGCAGCAGCAGCAATTGCAGCAGCCGTAGCAGGTGCCAGCAGTGACATGGATTCGCAGTAGTGGTGACCAGCAGTGGTCGTCGCAAAGTACTGAATATTTTTCAGTCTCATAGTTTCTGAGACAATCCTTTCTAGAGTATTTCAGGTCTTCTATATAGCTAATACTCTAAAATATTTTAGAGTACAGTATATTACAGAAAATAGTATACAGGAGTTTACTGTATGGAGTATAGAGTAGAGGAGACGTGAAGAGAAGTTAGAAGCTCCAACCCTGACGCGAACTACTTGGACAGGAATTCACCTCTTGCGCGAGCATGGTGCCAATGTGACTGCGCTGCAAGTATTAGGACCTTGGAGCTTTGGGAGTGTGGGGTTCTGGGGTTCGTTCAGCAGTGGTTTTTGTTGTTTCTTGGAGGGAGGGGGCGTTCAGAGGTCCACTGTAGCCTGATTCCGCCGGCGCCAGCGCCCAGCCACAGCGCCAGCGCCCGCCCCGGCGCCAGCCCCAGCCCCAGCCCCAGCCCCAGCACAATTCATCACATATTTCCCGCCTCTTAAACGACCCAGATCCAACACATGACATAGCTCAAAACCACCTCTCATTAGGCCATCCTGGTTGATCACATATCTTAACCCCTCCTTTGGCGATCCCGGTTCATCACATATCCTAAACCTGCCCCTTCGTTCTGCGATCCAGGTTGGTCACATATCTTAAGCTCGCCCCCTCCTTTGGCGATCCAGGTTCATCACATGTATTCAATGCACCCTCTCATTACGCGATCCCGGTTGACCACATATCTTAAACTCCCCCTATTTTGGCGATGCCGGTTGATGGCATTGCTTAAACCGGCCCCCTCATTTGGCGATGCCGGTTGATCGCATTTCTTAAACCCTCACGATCCCGTTTCACTACCTATCTTGAGCACCCCCTCTCAGGCGATCCCGGTTGATCACATTTCTTAAACCCGAACCCTCGTTCGGCGATCCCGGTTCTTCAAATGCCTTAAACCCGCCCCCTCGTTTCGCGATCCAAGTCGATCCATCACATTTCTTAAACCCGCCCCCTCATTTGGTGATCCAGGTCGATAACATTTCTTAAACCCGCCCCCATATACACTTTTTGCGATCCCGATTCGTCTCATGTCTTAAACCTGCCTCTCATTGGGCGATACGGTTGATCACATATCTTACACTCGTCCCCTCATGCGGCGATGCAGGTTGAGCACATATTAGCAACCCACCTATAGGCGATCCTGGTTGATCACATTTCTTAAACCCGCCTCCTCCTGGCGATCCCGATTGAACACATATCTTCAGCCCGCTCCCTCATTTTGCGACGCAGCGCCAGCACCTGCCTTCCCCTTGCACGCAGCGCCATCTCCAACGCCCGCCTTTCTTGGCGCATGCAGCCATCGCCAATGCCCGCCTTCACCAAAGAACGCGGCGCAAGCACCGCGCCATGCAGGCGCCAGTGCCAGCGCTCGGAATTATGTTGTCTGTATCCCCGAGAGGTCCCGGAACTTTCAATCTTTGGCTGGGGGCGTTCGAGCTACCAAATGAGCCGTGTTTGCTCCCTGGCCCTCGGCGCACCACCAAATGCATAGCCCTATACTGTCCAACCTGTTTTGTGTGGCACGCACACTCTCATCTGTCAGGCGGGAATCAAAAAAGTCTTCAACCCTAAAAACGTTCTTCGCCTTATCTTGTTTTCGATGCTTGTTTCTTGCGGTTTTGAGTACTCTGACATGTACTGGTACATGCGTGGGACTTTCATCGTAAATCCATACCTGCCGTGTGCGACTGCACAAGCCTCGAACGGTAATGGCATTCGGGCCATTGATGGATTTCTGGGGCCGCACGAATCGCGCATCAATCAGCCCCACTTCGTCGGAGTCTCCGAATGTGACACTCGCTAAGCCGCTAATCGCACCTCAATGCTGAACCAGGTGCTGTAGTAGCTGGCCTGTGCGTGCAATGCGGCATCAGACTGTCTGCTGTAAAACTGCAGGGATTGAAGGATTTAATTGTCGGGCTGTCGCTCAAAATTCGAAATGGAAAACTCGTGTTGGGTTTCGGGGTTGTGAGGATGCTGAGTTTGAAGATGCGGCTTTGTGTACGTATGAACGGATGGACATCTTTACGGGCTGACATGATTTGCGTGCCTTTTTTCAGGCTCTGAGTGGTTTTGAAAAGTTCAGAGGTGAGCAGGCTCCTGCAAGAATCGTTGAAGTTTTCTGCTCCTTGGGTTTGGGGGGGGGGGTTCATTTGAGTTTTCGTGGCATGCAAATGAACTTGGCATTGCAAGGTTTAGCTCGGGGCTACTGCTTGGACATTCTAGGCCCGATTCCCAAAAGGAGCAGGGTTGTTCGCACATTGCTTTTGTGGTCTGACAAATCAGACAAACGAGAGACTGAATAGTCAGGAACATGCCTTAAACCCCGGCAATATAATATGATATGTAATGTGTATATATATATATATACATATAGAGATAGAAAAAACTATGTACACACTATACCGTAGTATACTGTGGTACATCATAATATACTATTCTATACTGCTGACCTAGGCTCGGGATACTGCACCTTCAGCAGAGTCCTTCTCCACCGAGGTACAAGTCGCGACTGTCACTGGCCATCTTCCGTTCCTGTTTACGACTGGCGGTGGTTCTCGGGGCATCTCTGTCTTGAAGGACCTGGATCCCAGATCTTGTTACAGAGCATATAAAGTCAAGATCGCGCAGCTCGAATCTTGCATAGCCGCAGGTTTCGTGCTGTTTGCGGCATGTGGGTCTGTGACCGTCTGATGAACTTGCTGCAAAGTTGCATCAATGAATACTGTACACGGCCTTCAATGAGCTACGAGGGAATGTTCGAAACTGGCTATCAGGATAAGCTCAAACCTGTACGGAGCGAATCTTGCTATGAAGGCGTTAAACTTCCTGTGTGTTGACATACATAAGTATCTGCACATATCATATACCCTCAAAAACCCGCAATCGTAACAGACGAAACAGATCGGCACGTAAGGTACTTCAGTTTCCAGAGAGTGAGAGAGCAAAGCAAACAAGACATTCTACCAGGCACTTGCAGAGAGTCCTATTGACATCGTTTCGGCCACATGTTTAGCGTTGCATGTTGCAACAGATTTCGCTTCGCGCTGGTGATGATCGAAGTGACCCGGTCTAGTTGCTTGGTAGGCTTAGCATGGTTGTCCACATGGTGGTCTTGTTCTTCGAACTCTACATGTGCGCTAATGTTGCAATGGCATCAATACTTTTAACATGTTTTAACTACGTATACAGTAACCCAACGCATAGAAGATTCTGCAAAGGGAATCGTCGTCTGTGAAAGACTCGAATTTCACGCGTGCCCACTATTGTAGACCCCAAACATGCCCAACCCTAAACTATGAAGCCATAAATACACCATACCCCACGCCCTGAAACGTAAACCCTTATGCATATACATTCCAATTCCAGGAGCTCCTGCTGGACACACCCAAGGCTACGCTTGATTCAGGGATTTTGGATTCTGGGGTTCGGTGCTTGCGGAGTTTAGAACCTTATGGGCCGTTGACGCGCGCAGCCAGGCATCAAAGGGCTTTGGACTTAGGACTGTGGGCATAAGCTAAACATGTTTAGTAATCGCAATTAGCAATAATGGTTATTTGTAGTCGTCGTAATAGTAGTAATAGTAGCAGGAGTAGTAGTAGTAGTAGTAGTAGTAGTAGTAGTAGTAGTCGCCCCCCCCCCCCCTCTACCAACTACACTTGCTTAAACCATCTTAAGAGCACATCCATTTTACTCGGTATTTACAGCACTTTCGTCATGTACGATCATCATAAGAGGCCTCAAAATCCACTTGCCGAGTTTGCTAACTCGGCCTCTTGATTTTGGACTTGCTGCGGGGGGGCGGGGTGGGGGGG